TGTTTTCAAAAATGTTAAATTACCCAAACAGATACATTTCATTCCTTGGTTAGAATAGCAATGGCATTTTACATGATTACAGAATTTAAATAAACTAATAAACAGTAGTTTAAACTCATCTGTTTTATTATGGAAATGTGCAATGAACACACATTCATAACCAAAAGCATAACAGTAATTTCTTATAAATAGCTTATTATATCAGTGTTTTCCTTTCATTATTTTTCTTTGAGCTTTTGTTTATTTTCCTTTCTAATACTGAAATGATTCTATATTTCTGTTAAAGTCCAGAAACAGTGATTTACTTCAATCTTAGTGTTACATCCTTGTACTTTATATAAGGCTGAATTTAAGCCTATGTGGAAACATAGCTGGATGTTGGAATATTTTCCCTATTTCTTTTTTTTCTACAAGCAAAGTGTGTAGGGTAGGTTCTAAGTTTCAGCTGAAATAAGTGGATTTAAAAAAAAAAAAAAACTTTGTCTCTAAAAAAAAAAAAAAAACTTTCTCTCTAAAACAACCTGAATTCCATCTCTGTGGAACAGGAAATGTTACTAAAATGAAACATTAAGGCAGTGCAGAAATGTTTGTAATTTCTGATAACAGCTCTAAGTATGTTTTTAAAGGACGGTCACCGACTTTCTGTTCCTCTGTGATTTTTCCTTTACTTCTGAAATAGTGTTTTGTCCCTTCTTTGCGTTCTTCTGTATTTCCTTCTTTATACATTTTCCCTTAATTTTATCTGGTTTGCCTCTTCAGTCTCTTTTTTCTGTCACTCAATGTAATGCCTGTTAAAATTATTTTCCAAACACTTTAAACAAATTACATATGTTTAATATTTATATTTATTTTAAACTTAAGAACTTAGTTAACATTTTTTTCCCTGACACTTTTTTACTCAGCACTTAACTGCACATATAAGTATTATGGTCTTTTTTGATTTATGCTGTAGTATTAACAACAAAGACTAGAAGGCAACCATAGGTTGCCTGAAGTTCCATGTAATTTTAAGCAACATAGAAGTGGAGATTGGCAGATAGAATTATTATGGTATAGTTTGGAAAGTATCTTCGCGTATCTTCCCTGTTTGATTCTGCACTTATTCAGAATTATACTGCTGATTTTTGTGTGTGTGTTTGGTGTTTTGTGGTTTGTCTTTTTTTAAAGTCATAATTTGCACTGACAAGAGGCAAGTAGAGAAGCAAGGGACTAACTTGATTTTGTGAGAATCCATCTGAGAAGTGTACAAAAGGAGCTACTGTTGTAGGCTGTGGTGCGTGCTTCTGTGGAACTGTAATGATATAACTGAATGCTATGGGAGAAATTCTTTTATACTTTGGTTTTCAAGACTACTGTTACTAAACTCACTTTCTTGTCTGCTAACAAGGATTGAGATTGTACATAGAATCACAGAATGGTTTGGGTTGGAAGGGACCTTTGAAGATCATCTAGTCCACCCCTCTGCCATGGGCGGGACATCTTTCACTAGATCAGGTTGCGCAAAGCTCCATCCAACCTGACCTTGAACGCTTCCACAACTTGGAACACAACATTCTCCCTCTATATGAAGAAAAGCACAATCAGATTGTACTCAATCGCTCTAAATTGGAGAGATATGGATTTGATGGGTGGACTGTCCAGTAGATGAGGAATTGGTTGGATGGTCGCATCCAGAGAGTAGTGGTCAGTGCCTCAAGGTCCAGATGGAGATCACTGACAAGTGGTGTTCTGCAGGGGTCCGTATTGGGACCAGTACTGTTTAATATCTTCATCAATGATACAGACAGTGAGATTGAGTGCACCCTCAGCAAGTTTGCAGATGACACCAAGTTGAGTGGTGTGGTTGACAAGCCTGAGGGATGGGATGCCATCCAGAGGGACCTGGACAAGCTGGAGAAGTGGGCCTGTGTGAACCTCATGAGGTTTAACAAGGCCAAGTGCAAGGTCCTGCACCTGGGTCGGGGCAACCCCCTGTATCAATCCAGGCTGGGGGATGAAGGGATGGAGAGCAGC